TTCGGGTGATGACTGTCATCACCTTGATACATAGTATTTGTACATTTATTTTTTTTCAGATCAGTTCAGTGCTGGAAGGTGTTCTCCAAAAATTAAATGGATTGGTTGTAGCTTTGGGATTATTTATTGATATAAATGTGATGAAAATGCTATCATGTCAACTGGAATATCAGTCTGATGCAGATTTTCAAAAGTCAGTTGAATATTTTATAGAAAAGTGAGTAATTAAAGTAAAAAACTATGAAATGGAGCAGAGTCTGAGGAGCTCGGTAATTTTTTGGAGTATATCTATAAATATTTATGAAAGAATTAATTTAAACAAATGGTTTGTATTTTGATATACTTGGTATTGACATTTTTGAAACTAGTGAAAATGAAAACTTTGGTGAAGTAATAGGTAATGGNGTAAGTTGGGCTTTGCTTTGTTGAAACTATTTTTTCTATGGTTGACTCAAACCATTGTACTTCCTCTTGGTCAATGTACTTTTCCTAAAAATTTAACTATTTACTGGAACCTTAGTTGGAGATTTTCAATTTGATTTATCGGAGTCAAACTTGGAATCAGAACAAAAGTCATAAAAAAAGTTGTATTTAACTGAAAGAGTCCAATGAAATAATAAAGAATATTTAAGACCTCTCTATTGGTGGCTCCAAGTGAAAATTCTGTCTCATTACTAATTTTTTCTTCGTTTTCAACATCTTATTGAGATAATTGAAAAATAATTAAGTTACCTATGAGTTTTAAAGATTGAAATTGGCGGGACTAGAACACATCATATTGCATTGTGACAAGAATAATGCAACTGCTAGTCTTGGCAAAATACAAAAGTGAAGTGTGTGAAATGGGTAACTCATACAATTTTTTTGTTGAGTTCCCATATCTGAAGTACTAGGAAAATGTGTGATGAAATTGGAAGATACTTGATAAAAATCAATAACGTATTCAAGTAACAAGTAACTCAACCTATGAAAAATTTTGAACCCAACTATAACTATACTAAAAGATACTGTTACAAATTAACAAATATTGCTATGATTTGGAGGCTATTTGAAAAGTAGAACTTAATATTGTGGGAGTCTTCAAGCCCAATGGCTCGTATAACATATTTTATAAGGCTCTATTCTTGATCCAACGCTGTTTCTAATTTACATTAACTCAATTCCTCGACTGCTTTATTAGCTAGTAAATAGCCAACAAACAAAACTTACGATAAAGGTGATCCAGGTTAGCTAGTGAATGGGTGAAATACTATAAATTACCTCTCAATAACCAAATTACTTACTGATAACATTGAAGGACAACCCTTGCAGACACTGTCCTTCAATGTGTTATTCGAAAAACAGATCTCGGTCTGTATATAAACAACTTATCTGGGAATTTCTCACACTCGATAATTTGTAGAGTGGTGAAATACCTACCAGTTATATGTAACTCATCAATAAATTATCTGGTTCGAAGTAAAACTTCTTATAATAAATTGAAGCCGCTACTGGTCCTTGTCATTCAATTGGCCTTCTCTAGAAACCATACAATATTCTGAATATTTTCTTGCACCATATCAGACAATAGTCTAGGATCCCGCTGCAGAATCACTACGTCCACAGCGTAGTTAACCAAACTCAGATTTTTACATACAATTGTGAATAGGAGAATACATTTACGACAGGGTGCCAGTTAAAATGTGTCCGCAAATATTTTTAAAAAAAGCGAGTGTGCTTCGACCCACACGACTGAAGTAATCTTTCTTCAGCTCCATCTATATGTATCTATGTACTTACAATGGCTACATCGAGGAAACCAAATGAAGTATAAGAAATTTGAAAACAAATTTCATAATAATTGAGTAAATATGAAATTTGTCAAATATAACTGAAAATTTTCATATAAATTTCCAGCTAGGTCAGGTGTACCACAAGGATCGAATCTAGGTCCATTTCTGTTCATAACTTTCATCAATGATTTACAGTCAGTTCTGAAATATATAGATTGTCTTCAGTCCAAACAGTCCGAAACTGCACATATCAATAAAAGGATATTAATAACATTTCAGATTGGATTTTGAAGAATAAATGTAAGAGTTTTATTGTATTGTCGCAACTCAGTACTTGCTTTGCTCATCACGAGAGGACTTATCGCTGTTTCAACCAACCCTCTTTCATCCAAATAATGAAAGAACTCATTTAAAACTGAATGAAATATTTATTATGATGAAAACGAAAAAATTACGCTAAGAGTAGTTAATAAAATAGTTAAGAAAGATAAAAAGAAAAACAAAAAAACTTACATTATACTGCTATCCAGCAGGAACGATGAAAAG